TGTTCCAGGTTAAACTGGCTGCTTACATGCTTCCTGGCACTGTTCCCAGTGTGGCAGAGCAGCGGAGAACACAGACCCCCTTCTCCCTGCTGGGCTGGGGGAGTTGCCTCATGATGAGTCCTGGCTAGCCTGTGGGGAAGGCCGTGGTGCATGGTATCATAGCCCTTTTGTGGGATCAGACCCTCACCAAGGGCTCGAGCAAGCAGTGCTTGTGGCCTTGAGCACTTCTTCAAAGCAAGGAAGGCTGGCACAGGTTGGGGTGGCAGTGGGATGCTGTCTGCCCCTCTGCAGCCCTGGTGTGCCCAGGATGGAGGACTATGTACTCACCTCTGCTGCAGTGATGCAAGTGCTTTTGCTCTGTCTCCTGAACACTGCCCGGCAATGGGAAGCAAACGGCACTGAGGAAAGGTCAGGAGGCAGGTTTGGGATGAGTTGTCTCCCCTCTGCACCCGGTGAGGGCCTGGCTGGAGAATGATGCCTCTAAACGTGGAGGCGAGTGCCCTACGCCTGAGGGGAAATGCAGCCGACCGTGCAGGGGCGGGCTGGAGGAGGGAGCCCCTCCCGCAGGTAGTGTGGGGACCTCCTATGAGAGCCCGGTGAGCCGCAGGGGAGGCTGCCAGCCCCGGGCTGGTGGGGGGACCTGTATGCTGCGGCCTTGCGGAGGCCGAATGGACCTGCGCACCGGGACTCAGGCGTTTGTGCCACGGTACAAGTCGCAGGGAAGGCCCGGCCCCACGCGGGGCGAGATGGTGAGCACAGGGGGAAGCTGGTGGGGCTGTTGGGGCAGTGCAGCCGTGCAGGGCACAGCTCGAGCTCCTGCGGGCGACAGCGGCGGTTGGCGCCAAAAGAGCCCGGTGCGCCGGTGGCAGTTGGTGTCCGGTACCGGTGCCTCTGGCGCCCGCGGGGCTGCGTGGCGGTTGGCAGCTGTTGCAGGAGAAAGGTGCGTTCGATGAGGTGGTCGTCAGCTCATGTAAACAGTCACTAGCACCGTTGAGCTGTAAGTAAATCGTGTCTGATGCCCCCATCCCCTCCACCACACACACGTCTGCCGTTAAGTTTAATACGCATTTCTGTGCGGGAGTCATAGCCTTGCTTAGACAGCCAGCGAGAGGTACCTCAGCTACAGAAGGGGCATCAATTAATAGACATTTCTGTGCAGGAGTCATATCTTTGCTTAAAGAGCCAGCAAGAGGGTACCTTAGCTACAGAAAGGGCATGGAGGTTATTGGAGATAAGAAGACTATGAGAGTCCTCATAGCCTTTGGAAGTAGGACAGAAGACCAGTTCAGACTTCGTCTCACAAGGTGTTTTCCATTACAATTTACATACACTGTTCACATTCAGTTCCTGGAGAAGGGGTTGCTATCAGAAAAACATGGCCCCTTTGGGGATGCTAACCTGCATACTAACGCTTGCTTCTCAGAAACCAGGACTTCACCAAAACAATTGCCTGCAATTTAAAAAACTGAAAGAACTGCTACAACAGTGTACTAAGACCCAAATATTTTTCCATTTTAGTAGCACTCCAAACTGCTTTCTTCCCGAACATTGCAGCATTTTTGATAGCCGAAGTGCAGGCCACCTGTTGCAAAAGGGAAGGAACTATATATATTAAACCATATAGCAAATTTATATGTACAGGTCATTAAATGACCTGTATTTTGTAACATACACTACAAAGTCCTGGACATTTCCTTCATAGACTTGTGTGACCCTTCCATGTAGAACTAGTGTTGAAATAAGGGTACTTAACAATTGAAAGGCACTTTGGCTACACATTAGATCACGTCCAGGCAAAACCAGTCTATGCCACGCTAGCAGCACTCATGCCTGTATTTCGGGAAATGCAGCTTTTCTCAGGGATAGCCTTGGAATCCACCCATGAATTGCTGCTATGTGAAAAAACTGCACTGTTATAACCAAATTAAAATGCCAAGCCAAAGTTTTACAAGCGGTAAGCTAATTAGAACAGAAATGTTCCTATGAATTCACAGTCTCAATATTAATATGCACCTTTCTATCAAAAATAAAGAAAAATATTTGAATTTTGATATTTTTGTAAGTTCTCTTAAGACTCTGCTGCCTTCATTTCTGATGAAGCCAGGGCAATGGTCACAATCATAAGATTTAGATTGTAAGATCACTTCAGATCAAAAAGGTTTGTATAAATAAACTAGAAGTAGTAAAGCAGTCTATGCTGATTATTTCCTAAGTCTGAGGTTCTGTTTTAAAGCATTGTGGACCTTGAGGTCAATGACACAAGTGGCTATCTCTGAAGCTCAAGGACTAGCAAAATCACACAACTGCACTCACTGCTGCACAGTAGGATGTGCACTGCCAGAACTGTAAGGTACAGTACATTTTTCATTAGTGTGATTTTCTATTTACAGTCAATAAAATGCTGGAGTTGAGACTCCATGGTTCTTCCAGTGCTGATAGATAAGTGCAGTCTACTGCTTGCTATGCATGGCAAAGAGTTAGGAATGAAGACATCATTAATTAATGTAATACGTGCATTAACATAGTCCTCAGTCATGCATGGGATTCTTAGAGTGGTCTTATTTTAGATTCACTACAGACAGACATCTAAGCTTTTGTTTTCTAATTCTGAGGGACACCACAGGGAACTGATGGCCAGATTTTCTGGCCAGACAAAACCCAGAATGTCTTCCAAAGGCAAAGGAAGAGATAAATGTGCCCAAGATGACTGAAAAATTGGTGCATGGAGACATGCCTGGATCTGAGTCCTAGGCTTAATTCACGTGCAGTATGTGCTGCATATATGTACACACATGTCCTGGAGTACTCCTGAATTGCTCTGGAAAGATAGTGGCTGGGAGCATGCTGCCACTAACATACTTCCTAGACCTGCCACTGCCTCCTTCATGGTTCCCAGGACTGAAGGTACCAGGACTGCGTTATAGGTCAAAATAATTGTTATGGTGAGTCATACCAAGCTCATAGGCCACAAGTTTAGCACCATCAGAACAGTGAAGATTTGGCAGAGATCTAGGTTACATTCCCTGTCACCCCCTGTAGCACCTCTATGATGAACATAGCAAAAAATGCACTGTTCAATGTAATGGCACAAAATATGCTCGCCTGTGTTTGCTGGCAAACAGTGATGATATTCACAAGGGTTTTGGGTACCTGCAAGAAGAATGGGTCAACTTGCACTGCTCTGAGCCACCTTGACAGTCTGAACTCGAGAAACTTGCCTGCAACAGTGACACAATAGTTCAGATTTGTAAAGCAAATTTTGTTTGCTTTATGTGCTTTTGGTGGGGATTTGTTTGGCAGTGACAGCTAGCTAGGAAGTCTTTAAATGGCACACACAGAGTAGAAAATTTAAGACCATGGCAATGAGCCCTGTCACCACATCAGTCAATTCAGAGCCTTCACAGTAGAGACTGAGGCTTCTGAGCATCAAGGAGACTTTCTCTTCCACAGCTATCTCAGCTGATTTCACAATTAATCAGGATTACTCTGCCTCTAAACCACAAACCTTTCTTCTTTCCTTTTTTTATTTCAGTTTAATTGCTGTGTTTCTGGGTTTCTGAGGCTTTCTGGTTTTTAAGGTATATGTCAACAATTACTGTCTTTGGGATTCATTTTGTTTTGTTTAGGGATATTGAGGAAACTCTCCCATTGCTGGAAAGTTCGTAATAAATTCCTTATTACTTAGCAATCACTATGGAGGAGCCATTCATTTGGCTGCACAGCAGAAGATGAATATTTAACGGAGCAGTACTAAGGGCAAATGGAAAGAGTGCAAAGGCTAATGCAGAGGCCAGTAACAGACTTTCTGGGACAGGAGACTTGTTCTGGCCTTATCACATGGCAATGCTGGATAGAATCCCTAAAACCAGAAGTGGAAAACAAGCAAACAGAAAAACACTCATGAGAGAAATCAAAGAAAAAAACTATTTACAAAAAAAAAATAAATCTGCTTTTACAGAAGGTCTTATACTATATGTGCAGTTATTCAAATAATTTGTTGACAATCCATCTAAATATAAAAATATATAAATATTCTATATAAATTTTTCTTGATTAGACCTCTGGAATTGCATGATTACATCTAGACACACGCATCATAAATGCAAGGGATGCCTTAGATGAGGAGAAACTGTTAATTTTGTTTTTCAGTTTGTATATTTTTACTAGTCAAAGGGACTTGGGACGGTTAATTAACATGATCCTGAAGAGAGGCTTACTGAACTCATCTTTACTACATTTCTTTTTGTAAGTTAAATAGTAGAACCTCTTTAGTTACAGAGGCAAAAATTTGGTTTTGATATTCAGATTTTTGATATTTATTTTATATTTGTGGTTTTGCATATTGAAGGAAGCTAAGAAACACCTTAGAGTTGTGTGATTGACATGCAAGTAATGTGAGGGTTTATGTTTGCTTTCTATACAATCAAGTCTAAAGTAAGTAGGTTATTCCTGGGAGAACATAACCATTGGAATAGGATCAGTTAATTAAAAATTAATTTGTTTTTAATCCATCTCAGAGTCTTTGCCTTTCTCATCATACAAATTTAAATTTTGTCTTTCCTATTACTGTAAATTCAACTACATACTTCTAGTTCTTTAGCATTTTACAATTACACTTGTGCTTAGCAGGTTTTGATATGTGTTGGATAAGTATCTAATCTTGATTTATTTGGACATTTGCAGCTTCTTATGTGAGGAGTAGTACACCTAAACAAAACAGATCCTGTGCTGATAGCACAAAATCAGCAGTTTGTGCTGTTTGGCAAATTCCTATTGAAGCAAGCAGAAACTTACTCCAATTTAATTCAAGAATGGAAGTATCTCACAACAAATTATTACTGCAGAAAAATCCTTATGGCTAGATGATCTTTAGTTAATGTTAAATCACAAATATATTACTGTCTTTTAATTTATTTATTCTGAGTTAAATAAAGTTAACTTGGAAAAAAAAATCACTCTGTGCATTTACAAGTGTATAATCATGTTTTAATTTATATCAGTTTTTATTTTAAGTGTGCCAGGCTGCTTAAATGAAGCCCGTTGGGAAAGAGATAATAGTGAGACCTACTGAAACTCCTACTGCACTGTCTTTCTTCTGGAAGCCTTGCCGACACATGCAGCTGCCTGATCACAGTAGCTTGTCTGTCTAAACAAAATAGTTTAAGTCAAACCGTAATGCTTTCCTGAAGACAGAAGCCAGTACTACATCTTTGATGCTAAAGCATCAGCAATTCGAGAGTGGAGGAGATTTTTCTACCAGAAGTTTTGACATGCTGGAAAATGTTGGCATGACTTCTGCTGAGAGAGGGGATTTCTCAACAGCTCTTCATGCTCACAGTAATGAAGCCTCAGTTGAAAATCACCCTCTGAAAAGATTCCACTCACTAACTCATGTTGACCAAGAAGACACAGCATCGGTTTCAGGAATCTCTGAACTTTTTAAGGTTATGGAAGAACCTCGAGCACAGATTTTAAAACATGATGTAGAGATACCACCTCAAGCCAGAATCGCAACAATACCACTTTCTTCTTTCCCACTTAAACTGCAGCAACTAATGTCAGCCAGAGCTGAAAATATCTTTGAGCTAAGGCAAGCTGCAGAAATACCAGCTGTAACTTATGTATGGCCAGTAATAAGGATGAAAGATGCTTCCAGCCCTATTTGGAACAATTTTCCAAAGTATTTAATACCAATGAGTCCAATCTTAACAGGACACTGTTCTAGTCCTGATGTAATGATTGAAGATGTGATATGTTCCCATATAACCCCAGTCAGTCAGCTTAAACAAGAAGAGCTAGACGGAAGGACAGCAAGATCATATCCTCTTCTTGTAAAGTCATGTAGCAGTGTTGTTTCAGAAATTTTAAAATCACTGACCAATACCAAAAATAAGGATTATAAGGATACTTACATTGTACCACCTTTGTCCGAATGTCCTCCTGAAGAGCAACTGGAAAATCCTCTCTTTAAGGACAATGCTCTAGTGATATGTAATGGGAAAGTCTACCTTCTGTATGTAATGAGGCATGAAGCTCTGCCAGCAGAAACGGAAGTACATGGCTGTGATATGTTGCTTAAGAAGACCACAGCTTGGCTCATTACATGCAGTATTATCCGTGACGTAACGACTGAAGTTCCACATTCGCTGCTGTTAGGACAGTATAATATAAAACAGAAGGAAAGATGTCTTACAACCTTTGCTACCTCCCCAAACCAAGATAAAACTTCAAATGCAACACATTTCCCTTCACACGGGATGACTACCATCTCTCAGCCCAATCAGTCCTCACCTTCTACTGGGAAAAGGCAACAGGTAGTAATGTATGATGATCAGTTGAATGTCTGTGTATGGACAGTAATTTTCCCCTTGGATATAGATGAATGCAAAGTGCATTATTCAGCATATTTATAACAGGATGAGTGCTGTGTAAGATAAGTGAAATGGTTTTGATTTCAATTTTTTGGAGAAGCCAAGCAACTCCAGTGGACATAGTCACTGTAGATAAATCAAAGTAGAGCTTGCAGGTCATGAAGACTTTACAGTTAAAAAAGAAAGTATAATTAAACAATGCTGAGAAAAAAAATCCATCTTGAGATATATCAAGATTTTTCCAGTATTTGAACAGGACAAAAACACTGTGCGCAATGGGAGCAGCCTTTGCTATTTAGAGAATAACAGGGCTGAATTTAGTATAATGTCAAAAAGCTTCCAAAGGGAGAAGGTGAGGTTTCTGAAAACAGGTGCTGAGTGCCATCATAATCACCTTTTAGAGTAACAGTGAAAGAATAGAGAAGGGCTGGCTTTCAAGGTCCCTCCTGAATTAAATTCTTCATGAAAAGCCATATCCCTGAAGTAGGGAAGACTGTAGAAACAAGGTGTGAAGATAAACTGGGGAGGGAGGAAAGTGACTATCTAACACTCACTTTCAGATAGTCAGCTTCTACTTTTTGTTGTTTCAGTTCCTCAGCAAGACTGCATTCCTATCTGAAGAGAGCTTGCAAAAAAGAGATGGGAAAGAAGCCCTTCAGGAAAAAGACAATGAACTGAGAAGGAAATTCGGTATTGTTAAGGATGTAAGAGTCCTTCTCAACAGACTAAATCCCTCTGAACTTAAAGAGAACTCCAGCAAAGCTTCTGCACTGAAATGGAAGTTAACCATGAAGAAATTAGAAAGTGTGGCAAAGGTACTTAGCTGTTCATATATAAATAGAAAGCATGCCTCACCTTGAAGTGTTCATTACACGGCATTAGTACACTTCTCAAAATTTGTGAATGTTTCAGCCCCATCATAAAATGTTTTCTATTTGAGAACCTTGCAATGTTTATAAAGACTTAAAGTTGTTTTTTTTTTTTTATATTTGGGCTGTTGATAAAGTCAGGAAACTCTGGCTCTGTTTGTGCAGTCTACATTTGTTCTGTTACATTCTGTTATTTTCTGCAGGTTTTAATTAAACCCTCTGAGAAGAATAGCAGATCTTCCTAAATGTAGTTTTTATGTAAGATTTCAAATGGGAAAGCACTTCTTTATACAGTGAGAGAAAGATCTCTGCTCTTCATCTGTAAATTACATCTCTAATTGTACCATGCCCTAATGAAGGGCATTATTTTAATATGTATGTTTAAACTGTATGTTTATTTAAGTTTACTTCTGAGAACCGTTTAATGAAATTGTATTAAATTGTGCTGAAATGCTGTGAAAGAACATAATTAATACATCCTAAGTAAACATAATGGCACATCAGAATCTCTCTCTACCTCTTCGATACAGCTGTGTCTCTTTCTACAGCACACATCAACATCACAACTGAAGTGGGGGTGAGAAATTAGATTAATCTATACATTCAGATTTTCCCCAGATGTGAAAGTAGACAAACCACAGGATCTGAGCCCAAACCTGTTTTAAATGATGCTATATTTAGTTAATCTATGGTTTAGCAAAGGCTATAATTTTGGATCTTATCTTAAAAACTCCAACTCAGTAAGGTAATGAGCTCTTGTTTGTATTGATATCAAGCATGATGGGTCCTTTTTAAGATCTTAGTAGTATTTGCTGCAGTATATTTGCCTACCACCTGGGAGATGTAGGTCTATTGCACGGAGCACCAGAATCTCCTTGTGAACAAGACCAACAGTCTTGATCTAAAGCAGGTTTTTGTTTTTCTCCTACACTGTCCAACCTAGATAGTTCTCTTTGGAAAGAAAATAAATAATAAATAGAGGGATAGTTGGCTGTGAGCATAAACATTAATTGTCACCTGTTGAATCCTTTTTGTTTAACAGCAAACTGTACCACTTGAACCAGCTTTGCTGAGGAAAAGAGAAGAAAAGGAGCTAGAGCAGTGTGAGTAATCTCAAAGGAGAAGAAGAAGGAAATGTATTCAAAGAAAGATGCAGCACTTCAGAGACCATGAAAAGGAGGAGGAAAATTATTCTATGCAGACAGTATGAAAGTCTAAAGCTTACCACATGTGCTGCCATACCTTCTCTTAGGGGGGAGTACTGAGCAAACCCTGTGCATTCAAGAAAACCCAGATGAATTTTCTCAGATTAAAACTTTGCATGTCCTTAGAGATTTGCTTTAAGGCTCAAGTAAGAATTCATATTATACAGGAGAGTCCAAATCTTGTGTCCCTTTAAAAACTGGGGGGACCTCAACTGCATCCCACATCAGTTTAAGCCAACAAATTCCTCTAAAAGCCACAATTTGTATGTAAGCATACAGTGCATAAATCCAGACAAACCATTTCAGTGTTCTATGACATACTACTGACAGTAGTTTTAAAGCATTCACCTGACCTGCCTAACCTGTACTGTGCTAGTTTCTTGAAGCAGATGTTCTTGATACATTGTATCCTGGTCATTCAAGGTTATTTCACACTTCCTCTTCGATAAACCGGGAGATGTCTCTTATGAAATACACACCACCATTTCTACCTGAATTCCTTCATAAGGTACTGAAATAAACTGGTTTGAGAGTTGTTCCTGGACAATTAGCCTGCAGGCAGGCAGACAGCCCCAGAGATGGCCTGGGTAGGCTGCAGAGGAGCTGGGAAAGGAGGGTGGGGTTTTTTAACATCACCTGAGAAAATGCAACAAGGCACGATACAGTATTCATATGAAGTGTTTATCCTTTTACTCAGTAATCCAACAAAACAACTCAAAGTAGTCCAGTCCTTAGTTTTAAAGAGTGTAATACTGTAATAGTTAATAGAAGCTTGCTGACCTATGGCCCAAAAATAAAATAGAAATCTTAGGATTTGTACTTTTTGTACTTAACCTGGAATGTTTTTTTGTAATGTTTTTTTGGATGCCTTATGGAACTACAGTACAAGAGTAGAACATTCAGTGTATTCTCTATGGCTACACAATTGCTAGCTGTGCACAGATGTAGATACATCTCATTAGTATGTTCTCGTTTCCTGCAAGCAAAATAAATGGTAAGATTGGATGTGACATAAACTTAATTGAGACTAGAGTATTCTATCTAGCGAGTAGAACTTGTTCCATTGCTTGATGTTTGTTATTTCTTATTCCTTCTCTCTTTTGCATAGTATAATAAAGTTGACAAGCTGTCCTGTTTTCATGAGATAATTTATCAGCATATTTTAGAAAATGCCTTGCAGGTTTTGTGCTGCTGTTCTTTATTTAAAGGCAAAAAGAGCGTATATTAATCAAAAGACAGAAAACCAGATACCATTTACCACCTCACAGGTTCTTCTGCCAATCAGGTCATTTTTATTTTTGCTGACAACAAATGATATTCACGTGAAGTAGTATGCAGTAGTCCTGTTGTGAAGGTGGAGCCTCCTGCTCACACATAAACCAAACTCATCATATTTTTAATGTACAATGCAAACAAAAGTAACATGTAAAGTATGAGCTATATCCCACTGCCCTTCCAACAGCATATTGCTTTCATAGAATGCAAACAAAAGTAACATGTAAAGTATGAACTATATTCCACTGTCCTTCCAACAGCATATTGCTTTCAACCCTGGACAGCCCTCATTGGGACCTTGCTCCAGGCAAGAGTCTGCACAAATGGGCCTCACAGCCCCAAATCATCTATGCAAACCTGAGTTCCCAACTGTAATTTTCCCACAAAAACTCCACTCTTTTAATTCTAGCAAATAGCACAGAAGCTACGGAGCACAAGACCCAGCCATTTCTCCCCCTTTATGCATTTCTAGAAACATTCCTAAAACGCAAAGTTTCCAGCACTGTGCAAAACCAACACAGCACAATCAATCACCTCTTTTAGAAAGTTAGGCCTAGCCCTGTTTTCACTCTTTCTTCTAGTTAGCAACATTTTTATAAATTTGTTTCCAGTGTAGTTCCAATCCATCCGAAATTGCTGGAAGAGCCACAAATAACGGTAATCCATCTGGAAAGAATGGCAACAGGTTAGTATTTGACAACTTCCAGATAAATAGTCCTGCTTTGCTTTATTATTTCTGTAATTTCTTGTTATTTTATTGTAATAATCTCTGATAAAAACACTTTCCCACATCTATTTTGGGAAACTTTAAGTAGAAAGTCTTTCTTAAAGAAGAAATCCAACACTTTTCTACTTGATTTTCTGCTTAAAGTAGGAATCTTTTATTTTTAAGCCCTTGAAGAGACAGAACGAACTCTGAATTATGCTTCAGCATTCATTTCAGATGGTTCTTGCAAGTTTATTCTTTTCACTTAGAATTATTCAAGAGTCTGTAACTTCATTAAATTCGTGTTTCTTATTTCTGTCTTTCTACAGTTCAAGTGCCTGTCTTTGAAAATAAAGTTTATGTAGATAAATCTTTCTGAAGCACTCTTCACATGCACACATCCCTTGCTAAGGAGAAGACCTTGCAAAATGTTTTCATACGGAATACAAGATTTATAAGCAGGGATAATAGCTGTCACCAAAGTAACAAGGTTATTTAGAAAAATTCCTTCCTGCAATGCCACACCAGCTTTGCACTGAAATGGAAGTTAACCACGAGAACAAAGAAATGAGAAGATGGTTTAGGTGCCAAATAGGTGCCAAAGGTACCTAACTGTCCATATATAAGTAGAAGCATGCCTGACCTTGAAGTGTTCATTACACAGCATTAGTACACTTCCCACTTTATGAGTATTTGACTCTGTGTCTTACATTTTCTATTTAAGAACCTTGCAATGTTTGTAATTATACTGCTGATATTTTTAATTTTGGGGGTATTGATAGTCAGGAAACTTTGACTCTGTCGGTAGTCCTGTGTTACCAATGATATTTCTGCACATGATAGCTAAAAGTTTAAGAATGTGGTCACATAAATTGGTGCAGCCAAATAAGGACTTAAGTTTGATTTTTTTCATCTTCTAAAGCATTCTTTTCACAACACAAATTTTATTTCCTACAAAACTGCTAGACACAGGATATGGAGTAAAGGAGGACATCTTGTCAATGACCAGTTTCTCTCCAGTCAAGTCAGAGATAACCGGCCAAAGGCCAGTTCAAAATGGAGGCTTTGCCTTAGAAACTCCGAAACCTCTCCACTCCATACACATGGGCTCACTACGTAGCACAGTGATCCATTCCTTTCAAGAGCAGTAAAGTTTTCCTCACCACAACTGCTGCTAACATGCCAGGATCTGAGCTTAATTTCAATTGTGGCAAAAACTGCAGACAGAATGCTGGATACTGCTGAAGTCTTGTATTCTGGTTGTCACTCCTACGACTGCAACTGAAAGTAGAAGTGCTTGCTGACCTCTCACTGCTAGTTATGGCTTGCAGTCTCTCTGTGTGCCAATTGTGTATCTCATAGGCAGAAACAGGATGCTCTTCGTACTCATGCTTGGCCCTTTTTGGTTTGGTCGTATTGCCATTCACTTTTAGTTAAGGTGCTGAGAGCACAAGCTACAGATCTACAAGTAGTCATTGATCTACTTCTTCAGAAGTCTTGAACTATGGACTTGCTTAGTCCATTGAACTATGGACTTGCTTATCATTTGGCAGTTTTGCCTAGTGTTACCAGAGACTCTTGGCACAGGTGTCTGCTTTCTCTGATCCATGAGATATTTAAACTGTTGTTAACTAGCCTCTTGTGTCCTCCTTGTAATTTTCTACCATACAGCTCGGAAGATTGTTTCAGCAGCCAGACTGGACATAGGATTTTCAAAACCCGGGATCATTTCAGTGTAACTTTGTTTAATTTCTTTTTCTGCAGATAAATTAGTAATCAATAATAAATGAGTATTTCTCCTAGATCTAGTATCTCAGCTTGTAGTATTCAACTTCCATTTCTGTCAACCAGCGTTTAAATCGGCATCACCCAGCCTTTCCAAGATCTCTGAGAATGGTCTACTTTTGTCATCCCTGACTGGGAACATCACTCAGCATTCATGAAAATATACTATATCTTTCTGTGCAATATTTCAAGGGCAGGTAAAGCAAAGCTTTCCAAACAGTGTCAAAAGAGCACAGATATGAAATACTTTTATCTTTCTGCCAGTACCCAAAAAAACATCCATTGTAAGAAGTTAGTGTTGGCTATAATTTTTCCTAAAATTTCTTTCCCAGTAAAAATGCCAAGGCAGATTTTTAGGATAATAAAATCTTGATATTGTTTCTCCATCCATCAACATTATAATTTCCCAACATATGTCCCCAAAATCAAATAGGATCAAACACCTGCCTTTCCTGTTTGGATTTATTCTACAGCTGTTTTACACAGGTGTTTCCACTTGCAAGTCTACCATTGAGAACTTTTCAGTTACCGACAG